GATCAACGTAGTTTCGTATTCATTGCTTTTATTAGTAATTTTGTTGCTTGCTGGTTCGTTTGTTTGTTTGTGTGTCTACACCTTTGTTTGCTTCGATAGAGATATAATTGTGAAGGACCCAACTATATCTTAGCTCTCTCTCTCTCTCTCTCTCTCTCAACATTTTAGCTTCTCAAAACATTCGTCACATTTTAAAGGTTTATATGGTCAAGAAAACGACAAAAAGATCAACGTAGTTTCGTATTCATTGCTTTTATTAGTAATTTTGTTGCTTGCTGGTTCGTTCGTTTGTTTGTTTGTTTGTGTGTCTACACGTTTGTTTGCTTCGATAGAGATATAATTGTGAAGGACCCAACTATATATTAGCGCTCCCTCTCTCTCTCTCTCTCTCTCTCAACATTTTAGCTTCTCAAAACATTCGTCACATTTTAAAGGTTTATATAGTCAAGTTTTAGAGTATCTAATTTGAAAAGATATTGTAAAAACGAAGACAATTTTTTCTTAAAAATATCCAACATAGTACCCCTTTTCAAAATGAAAAATTCTCTATTCGTGTTTTCAAAAAAATCAAATGAGAAACTCAAACTTCAAATAAAGGAAAAAAAAAAAAAGTAAAGTATTGATTACTTTTTTATAATACATAAAAATAAAAATATTTTGAAGATAAGCACTGATTTTGATTGACTTTTTTTTTTTATCATTGCGACTTCACATTTTTTCAATTATGAGGTGAGAAACTCAAACTGATATAAGAGAATAATACGCTCTTAAAAGATTAGCCCTAAAAAGAATAAGTTAAATGTAATTACACTATATATATATATATATATATATATAATCTTGAATCAAACAAAGAGAATTAACCAAGAAAAAAAGTAAGAAAGTGAAATATATATATATATATATACGAATTATGATTCAAAACAAAATATGAATAATAGAAAAATTCAAGAGATAAAAAGATTTAACGTGATTCAGCTTTGAGCCTACGTCCACGAACAGAAACGGCGAAAGAATTCCTCTATAACCAAAAGAGATTATAAAAGGCTATAAAAATCTCTCACCACCTAAATCCCAAATACACTCAAAATCTCTCAAGTTAAAAGCAAGAATACCAAATATCAAAGAGATAAATCTCTGATTAAATCTCGCTCAAAGAAGCAAAAGAGAGAAACTTGTGTATCAATGGAATAACCAAATTGTGCGGCTGCCCTATACACTCTTGTGGCTCTGTCCTCTCACGTTCATGTCGCTAGCATACATATACAAGCTCCCAAAAACACAAAGTCGACAACACCTAATTAATAGTAAGAGAAATACATGGGCCCTAGGCCCAATAACAAAAGACAATATATTGGGCTTAATTTAAAGCCACTCTCAACCATCTCCACATTGACGAAAATTAAGCCTAAGCCCAAATAATGAAATTCCTCCACCATCTCTTCCAAAACCCCGTAGGACTAATTCTAATTTGCAACACCAAATAAGTCCAAGCGACACTTAAACTTCCAAACAGTAACCAACTTAATCACCGAACTTGTCACAACTAATGCAATACAAATCAGATAATCAAGCTCCACCTGCTCACAAACACCGGGATTTTTATCTGCAACTACTAATTCTTTGTCTTCAAATAGGATGGCAAAATCATCAACTCTGTGATTTACCAAACTTGGTGATTTTGGCTCAACAAACCACAACCAATAACCGTTCACCCCAAACTCAAATCCCAGGAATGTCTTTGTCATTCGCTCAAGTTTACCATCATTCACATGAGCACAAATAGAACAACCAAATCTTAAAACAAAATCAACAGAGCAACCAAGCCGTACCTCAAACGAAGTCTTCAATCCAAATGCAGTTGATGGAGATCTAACTAAAAAACAGGTTGGAAAACCAAACTTAGAAAGCAAACAGCAAGCTTTTCCCAAGAGAGCTGAATTCATACTATCTGCAACTAACAACTACTGTGGCAAATTCCAAATAGTGCGGTGTCTCACTATCTTCCTCTCGCAGAAGCTGTAACTCTCACCAAATTGCACACCATCATAGTCATCAACAAATGTCAAAACTGACATCCCCACGTCACTCACATGACCCGAATGCAAATGCCATGAACGAGTGATCCTAAAATCTGGATCTAAGCAAGATGAGACCGCGGTAGCAATAACAACTGTACTACCCTGTAGAAAATAGAGCCCGTTATGCAACTCTCCCTTAATCACCGCAAAAGCTCCTTTACTAACTCTCAGAACTCCACCTTCAACAGAACACCTATAACCTTGTGAGTCGAGAGTCCCCAAAGAAACAAGACTTTTCTTCAAATCTGGCACATGTCTAACATTAGTCAAAGTCGTAACTCTGTCATCAAACATCTTAATTTTGACCATTCCAACACCTGCAGCTCTACAGGACATATTATTCCCCATAAGACAACACCCACATCAATAGACTAGTAGTCAATAAACCAATCTCTATTTGGGCACATATGTTGAGAACATCCAGAATCAAGAATCTAAGAATTTTCTACGCAATCACTAGGCACAGATAGGACATAATCATCATCTTCAAAATACTCAACAATATTAGCTCATGCTTCTTCACCAATTTTCTTATTTCCCTTGAGCTTTGGGCAATCAACTTTCCAATGCCCTGGTTGGTGACAATAGTTGCAGTTGCCTTTTCTATTTTTAGACTTTCCTCTATTTTTGTTTTTGCCTTTATCAATTTCTCTACCTCTAACAACCAATGCACCTGATTGATTTTTATCCCAATTTTCAGACACCTTTTTCTTCAGTTCTTTGGAATTCAAAGACGCCTTAACATCTTCCAAAGAAATAGTGTCTCTACCATATAACATAGTATCAACAAAGTGCTCATACAAACGAGGTAAAGAACATAACAAACTTAATGCATGATCCTCGTCATCAATTTTCACATGTATATTTTTCAAATCTAGAATAATTCTATTATATTCATCAAGATGACTTTGAATAGATGTACCTTCTAACATGCGAAGAGTGTACAAACGTTGTTTTAGATAGATCCGATTGGTGAGAGACTTAGTCATATACAGACTTTCAAGCTTAAGCCACAACCCAACAGCAGTAGTCTCGTCAATAACCTCACACAACACCTCGTCTGCCAACGACAGCTGAATAGCACTATGTGCCCTTTCTAAGAGGTCTTCTTTCGCATCTTCTAATAACATTGCCAGTAATGTCTCCTTGCCGTTTAGCGCCTTAAGCAACCCTTGCTGAACTAATAGGGCTCGCATCTTGACACGCCAAAAACTGAAATTCTTCTTCCCATTGAATTTTGCAATTTCATACTTTGTCGTCATTGTGGAGGTCATAAATCCCAAAATAATTTGACAAATAAACTAAAGCTCTGATACCAGTTGTTGTGCCAAACGCCAAATTCAACGGATTCAAAACAAAATATGAATAATATATTCAAGAGGCAAAAGTATTTAACGTGGTTCGATTTTTAGCCTACGTTCACGAACAGAAATGACGAAGAAATTCCACTATAACCAAAACAGATTACAAAAACCTATCAAAAATCTCTCACCACCAAAATCCCGAATACACTCAAAATCTCTCAAGTCAAAAGCAAGCAAGAATACCAAATATCAAAGAGATAAATCTCTGACTAAATCTCGTTTAAAGAAGCAAAGGAGAAAAACTTGTGTATCAATGCGGCTGCTCTATATACTCTTACGGCTTTGTGAACGTGAGGCTCTGTCCTCTCAAGTTCACGTCGCTAGCATACATATATATGCTCCCAAAAACACAGTCGGCAGCACCTAATTGATAGGTAAATAAGATAAATACATGGCCCTAAGCCCAATAACAAAAGAATATATTGGGCTTAATTTAAAGCCACTCCTAATAATTTTATGTTTAGTAGAGGAATTCGTTCCCTAATTCGAATCATGAATCATGATTCGTTACAGTATTTTTTCTCATAAAAAATTCACATACATCAAAAATGATTCGAATCACATAATTTGAATACTCCAACCAAACGTCCTCTAACTAAAGTAACGTGCATTTGTGAACATTAAAACGCAATAATGGCAAAAGCTATATAAAAGTCACCTTTTAGAAAATGCGTACAAGCTAGTAATAAAATTTTAACTTGTACTTCTAACCACAATCTGTCAAATATTTGATATTATAAATTGTAATATATACCAGAGGAAAGTCTGGTGGCAGAAATGGAAGCGATGAGAGAGAAACAAGTGACAATGGCGTCAAGCCCACCATACACAACACTCTTGACATGGTCTTCTTTCCATGGCTCTTTTGGTCTTCTTCTGCGGCTGCTGCTGCTTTCAATGTCTCTTCCCTCTTCCTGAATTAGACACTCTCTGCTACAGCTGCTAATCTCTGCCCTTCTTAATTTCCTTTTTCCTTTTTTTGTTTTTTGGGTTTCCTCAATTCCTTATGTGTAATTCAATTTTATTGCTCTTATGGTCCAAAAAACTGTTTTTGACAGTTACACACATTAAGACATTGAAAAGGTAAACAGAGATGAAAGGGCTGATCAAGGTGTCATCATGCATGGGACTTGTTTGCCACGTGCCAATAAAACTCTGTTGGTTTTTGTATATGTTTGCTACTTGGCTTCATTGTGTGACTTCAATAAAAAGCTCTCTACTTCTTTTTCTTTTATCTCAATTCTTCAAAGAGTGAATCTTTCTGTAACAATATAAGTTATTAATCTTTGTAAAAAAAGAAAAAGGGACAGTGGTCATATGTTATTTTCATTCCTTTTTTCCCCTATGACAAATTCGATTATATCTCTTGAATATAAAAATTGTGGCGGCACAAACAAGGAATAACATAATATATGGAAAAAGGAGAGAGCTAAGAAGAAATATATGTATTTCCTTTTCATGAAAATGAAGTTCCAACTTGATTATCAGGAAAAAAAAAAAAACAAAAAAAAAACAAAAAAAAAAAAAAAAAAAAACTAAAAACAAAAAACTTCCAATGGCCAAAGCACTTAACAATGGACCACCGGCCCCACAGAACAGCGACTTCTGTCTTTCTGGGAAGTCCTGTGTTCAGGAACTCTTATCCCAGTTAATTAACCTAGTACAAAGAATTAAAAAACAAAAAACAAAGGGAAAAGATTCCATCTGCAAGCATTATTCAGGATTACAGTTTCTATTTTGCTAGAAAGAAGTATTGAACAAAATGAATGAACTACCAATGGCCTTTTCTTCATATTGAACAATATGAATGAACTGCCAATGAACTGCCAATGGAGAGGAGACACTTTGTTTTAAACTTCAGACTAATGGCCTTTTCTCTTCATCATCATGATCTCTTACATTTTGTAGTTGGATTCCGATCTCTTGACTGGTTGATGGTTTTGAAAGCTTAGCATGTGAATTTGAAGAAGACTTCTGGGTGGGCTTGTTATCAGGCAAGAGCTTCAATGTAATTCCCATGCCAATCAGCAAAAGCCCAGTCCCATGCTGCTCAGTCAATGGCTTTGTGAAAATCATGTATGACAATAGTAATGTTACAGCCTTCCTTGCCGTTGTCACCTGTCCAAATATGAAAAAAATTCAGTGGAAATTTTGAAAACTTCTAAACCCTCGTATCCACACAAGTAATCTTATTCGGGTGCGCAAAAGAAATACAAAATAGTTCAAAAATGTTTAGAACCACCTTATGTGGGGTCTATTGCTTCATATAGTCTCCCACAACTTTAAATAATTTAACTTTTATGTAGAACAATGCTATGAGACACCAATGTAACGTGTTCAATATGCACGACTACTACCACCATACTAAAAAGGTAAAATACTAGGATGTTTTACTGTTTTCTAAAGTGGCACAGTTGCAAGAAAAAGGGACAAGGTAACTTTAGCACTAAATAACTAAAGATAATAATAGAATCTTTTGAAGTCCATTGATGTGAAATTCATAAAGTTGTATGACACAAATTAATTTATCCATTTGTGCATAAATTAAAGAGTGGGCAGTGCAAGAAAAAACAAAAAACAAACAAACTGTATGGGATAGAATAGAATGTACCATACCATGGCTGTGTTTGCAGCACCAAAAAGGGCAATAAGAGAGAGGACAGAGACTTGACCGATAAACGTGGCCATGGCTTCAAAGACTAACACACCATACACGTAAGGATGCTGTGTAAACGACACAAAAAATGTCTTTTAGAGAAAGCGTGAGACATGTGGAAGTGAGAAAAATTAAAATAAAAAATAAAAACATCTGTAAAGCTCGAGAAAAATGAGAGGAATTAATCTATTCTATTTTTAAAAAAAGTACCTGAGAGCAAGAATTCCATGCTTTGAATAGTTCTCCAGTTAAAAGCATGGGTGGGATCAAGAATGGCAGACCCACAACAGTAGAACAAAACAGCATTTCGGTCTGTGCATAGAATAAAAACGTCATTATCAAGTCATCACCAATTTTCCAGGAAAACCTCTTTTTCTTTCACATTTTATGAGAGTTCCCAAATATCCTGATTGTTATCACACTATTTTGAACCATGTGAACAAATTTTCACAGTTTAGCGTACTTTTGTCATTTCATTGTAATTTTAGTCGGATCTAACGCTTAAAAACACGCACTACCAGCAGGGATATGTAGAAAGCTGATTCACATTCTATAACACGAAGACATAACAAGAGGAGATGAATAGAGAGATCATCACCTGAGTAGTCTCAGGATTCAAGGTGAAGATTGCTTCTTGCAAATTACCCAGAAAGGAATCCATGATTAGAGCACCGGATACCATCAGAACACCAATAACACTGAAGTTAGGAGATGTTTGTGCGTCGGCTAAGGTGAAAAGGATCAAACCCACAACCAAAAGAACTGCAGAAATATATTCATGTGGTGGGTATTTCCTCCTCAAACCGGGTATAAACGCCCCCATTATCATCACAGGCAAAACCTGGAACACCAAAATTAATTAACAACTCAATCATTGTTTAAAATGATGGGCGTGTTTCCGAGAAATAATACGATAAGATACATCTGTGACTTAAACTCAATTCCATTGACAACTTTGTAGTAACAAATCTCAGAGTTCAAAATTTAAAGGACCAATCAGACATTCTCTTCAAAACAAAAAAGAAAAAAAAAATGACTTCCAAAATTAATTTCATACCAAATTATATTTGTGCCTTGGATACTTGCATTTAATTTTATGCAAATAATAATAATAATAATAGTAATAATAATAATAATAATAGTAATAATCATAATAATAATAATAGTAATAATAATAATAATAATAATGTAATGTGATTTACCTTTGTTGACTTGAACATAAGCTGTGCGGGGTAGTTGAGGAAAGCCAAGGAACCTTTGGTGAGGCCATGAGAACCCATTAAAACAGCCGAGAGCTTCACATAAGTCTTCCATGGGTTTACCATTTGCTTGGTGCTGAATCCTTGAAGGTAAATGAGGAAAATATACACAAATCCTTGAACAAATGTGAAGTACCAACCATAACTGGAACAAGAAATTCATCATTAACACAAATAGGCCACAAGTTTAAAACCAAAATCAAGCATTAGGAAAGAAAAAAAAATGAGAAAAAAATTTCCCATTTGCTGTACTTACCTAAATTGAAGCCTGTTATACACATATTCCTGAAAATTAGACAAAAAGAAATAATTAGTTATTGGGATATACCCAAAATAAAAAAAATACTTGATTCCTGAAATGAAGTAATTAGTATCATCTAGACTTCTACACTACAAGTTATTCCATCTAAAAAGAATTTTAATAAAAGCAATATTTCTTAGAGCTCAAAAGGCAAACAGATTAAAAAACAAATAAATTGAGTGGGTGGTCCCAGTACCCACCAGATCATAGGATTCAATATTTTCTTTTTCTTTGCAATCAAACAAAGAATAAAACCGGGGCAATTTATTTTTATTTTTTCCAGAGAAGAATTAAATAAAGAAGTCATTTTTGCCAGAAAGCTAAAAGCTTAAACGTATTATTCCATGCTAATCAAACGAGAAAGAAGGAAAGAAAACAAGAAGTCAGCTCATTCAGATTATTTTCCCGGAAACCAAACAGAAAACAGAGAGAGAGAGAGAGAGAGAGGCGCGAATACCTCGCAGATGCCATTGATAAGGTAGCCGAAGAAGAATCCAGAAGAGCACAAGAGGAATTGCTTCCATTTGGGTCTGTCAGAAAGCGAAATCCCAAACAGTGACCGGCTTTGCTCATCGTTCCTCATCGCAAGAATCTTAAGACAATTAAGAAACGAAACAGTGACGGCGTTTGATCAAAATGAAGCTTTTAATGGCGGGCTTCTTGCATGTTGACCTTCCCAAGAAACTCAAGCCAGTTATCGGAATGCGGTATCGGTTTGATTACGGTGACTTTTGAACATTAAAGAATTGAACTATTGTACATTGAAACCCAAAAAGGAGAAAAATCAGGAGAGAGAGAGAGAGAGAGAGAGTGACGTGTATTGTGTAATTGTATGTGCATATATATCTGAAGGCTGAAGCTGGTTCTCTATTCTCTCTGTTTTTGGCATGAAATGCAATGCACAGAGAGCAGGGACACCTCCTTAAATAAGAGCAGGTTTTCTTTTTCTATGCACATTTTCTTTGTAATTCCCTTTTTTTATTATTTTATTTATTTCCTTATTTTATTTTTTGTGTTTTGATCTTTTCCCGAATATAGGTGGGGCCGTTTTGTGACGTGTACCTCTTTGATTTTTCTTTTTATTTTTATTTTTTATTTTTATTTTTTTGGTTATTTATTATAGATTGAAAGAGACAGATGGGGTTGTGCTGATTTTTGAGGTACCCTTTACTTGGTCCTCTTTCATTTTTTTTTTGAAGGGTCCTTTACTTGGCCTTCATTCTTCACAGCATATATATATATATATATATATATATATATATAAAGTCTCTAATCCGGTATGAGATTGGAGGTATATTTTTTTTTAAAATGTGTATTTTTTATCATGTGTTTAGATAAATTATAAATGTCTTCACATATTATATATGTTTTAAAAAGAAATATACATATTTTTAAAAAATATATACATGTGCTGCTCTAATTCAGTACTGGATTGAAGACAATTCCTATATATATTCACACACACTAGTTAAACTGTGCCCTTGCAGAAACGTTTTAATTGGAGAACATGATTAAAAAAAAGATAAATCCTCCTTAGAGTGTATGAGTCTAAATATTTTACTTAAGGGTGCATGGCGGTAGGTGTGGACGGTTTGAGTGGCTTTTTTTCTTGGCGGTTTTTGAAAAATTCAATCCATAACTGCCTAAGTCTCAGGCGGATTCGGCGGTTTTTTAGACGAGTACATTAGGCGGCTTGTTGGGCGGTATGGATTTAGTACTTATTGTTTTTGAATTATTGAATTAGAAATTAAACCTTTTATTATAAACTTAGCTACTTATATATGTAAGTATACATATTGTATAGGCATTTAAATTCATTTTTATGGATTAAAAAAGAACAACTAAATATTGTACAAAGGTATACTCATTTTCCTCAAACTGTTGATCTAAAGCGAAAAAAAATGAAAATGTAATGTTGTTAACTAATTACTAAAGAACATAAAAATAATAATTATTTGAGATCACTTCTTAGCGTAAAGTCTTAAAGCTTATAATATGTAAGAGTTTGAGGAAAACACATACACATATTCACATGCAAAAGGTACTTGTAGATACATAGTTAATGGAAGCTAATAAAATGAAATCAATCATAGCATACATAACTGAATTGCACAAGTTTCTAAGAAGTTATATTCAAATAAATTAAGTTTGAAATCTACATCATAAAATGTTAAACCAAATAAAGAGTCAACATTCACCATATAAATTCCATAAAAAAATATATATACATGCATGTATGATAGACGGGCAGGGCGATTTGAAACAGCTTAAAATTATGCCAAATGTAACAGCCTGTCTATAAGTGTGGATCGTAACCGCACTGCCCAAAAATAGGTGGATTGTGACATGAAGCCGCCGATAAAAGGCGACACAGGCCAAATTGGGAGGTTAGAGTTGTTTGCAGTTATTTTTGTACGCCCCTATTTTTACCCTTTACTCTTGATTAATATCTATTTTATTCAAATAATTATAGTAGTCAAAAGCGTATTGTTGTTACCCAATTTTGTACTAGGCTCATTCGACAGTCTAGGCCCAAATCCTTTCATCTCGTGACGCTACTGGGCTTGCTTCATAGACCCAAACCAACTTAGAGAACTCATGTGGTTCGTAGTTTGGTGGACTATGTGTGATTAGGTAGGCATGTTTATCGTTTTATACGATCCGGTTTGAATCTCGCTTGGGGGTTTTCAAAATTAATCGAATTAAATATAAATGGGTACGGAGATTTTTCAAAAAAGCCTTCCTTTCGCCCTTTCAAAAGCCCAAAAACTCAATGTCCATGCCTTGGAAGTTTCCGCACTTGCCTAAGCTTGAAACTCGCTGGTTTGACTTCAACGGAGCTTCATTCGCGTCCATATGTGCCTAATGAGTCGTTCTTCATGTCAAGTATGTCTGATGGAGCATTTTCTTGAACCTAAGTACGCCTAACGGAGCCGTTCTTCGTGTCAGGCATGCCTCCTTCCCACTTTCTTTTCGCCAAGCTCACCTGCTGGAGCAACTTCTTCATTTGGAGTAACCTCCATTCGGAGCAAACTTTTGTGTCAGAGCAAACTCGCCGGCTGCTTAGCCATGCTTGCAAAAACCATTTCTGACAAGGTCTAACGCGCAATCAAATCTCTAAATGAGGAAGTCAATAGAGCACAAAGTTGAGTCAAATACTCTTAAAGAGTTTCAGGCTTATGAAAGCTCCAAATCAGCCCAAAATCCGGAACTTGGTCTCCAAGTCTTCTCATTCTCTGACCATCATTCCTGTCAGTTTAGAAAGGCACCTGTTGACCTTGCTTCATCGGTCTTGAGTGTGCAGGCATCCATCAGAGTGCCGTCATCTGGCCTTTGAGCTGCCACTCAGAATTTTCCATTCCATTTTCAGACCATCTTTTTGTCAATCCGGAAATGTGTCTGGAGACTTTCCTCCATCATGATTGTGTGTGTGAGAATCCATCAAAGCGCCACCAATCTCCCTTAAGAGTTAATTTCCAGAACCTTCATTTCCTCTTTTGGTGAGTCTCTTTGTCAACTCCAGAAAAGTAGCTTATGGCCTTGCTCCAAACGGTATTGCATGTACAGGCTTTCGTTAGAGCACATCGTGCAGACGTACAGGACAACCGTCAAAAAGGCCTCCAACTTCCACTATAAATACCCCTACCAACTTTCTCACTTCATCATATCAGAGGAGAACATCATCAGAAACACAACATCCTTATATCATACTATTTAGCTTACTTTAATTACTCAAGTCTTTTACTACAAAGACTAGAAGTTCTGCATGTTCTTAGTTTCTAAGTATAAATTCTTCAAGAAGTCTCTTCATGCCTCTTCTGTCATATCTCAAAAGTGCTCCAAAGTTTTCTTCCCACATTTTTTGGAAATATTAGTCTTCATACTCAGATTTATTCTCGCTCACCGTCAGAACAAGTGCTCCAAACGACGCCCTCGCTCACAAGGCAACCCGCGTCTGCCTTTATAACGTCTCTCATCTCTCCAACGAAGCCTTATCCACCGCTCCGCTCTTAGAACAACCCGTGTCTGTCCTAGAGCAAAGTCCAATACAAGGCCCCGTGCAGCCTCCAAAGTCCATCTCCATCAGCTAGCTAATCACCCTTTCCACCATTTTTCACTCGTGCAGTTCTTCTTCAAATATTTGTGGATTCACTAACTTGTCAACGAAGCGGGTCCTAGGATCTGATTCCTAAAGTTCGCTTCAGGCTTAACCATCCCCACATCCTCATTGGAGGTCCTGCCTACGGTATCAACCTCGAAGCTTGCTAAGCACTTCGGCCGCATTGGATCTGATTTAGGCGAGTCTTCTGCTTACGTATGTCAACCCCACAATACGTCATTCCTTTGAATCTATCGGACCACGACATGTATTTGTCAGTAAAAATCTAAACTCATGCACTCTAAGGGTAAATTCAAAAATTCTCTCTAAAAAAATTTAGACAGGGATATATATGAAAAGCAATTATTTAAATAGGAAATTAAAAAAAAAGTATATTTATAAGGGTTAATTTGGAGAAAAGAAAAAAATATATAGTAAAGCAAAAAAGATAAGAACGTAAGAAGAGTAGACAAGGAAAAAAAAAAGCAAAAAAGAATGATAGTTTAAAAATAAAAGGAAAAAAAGAATGGAAAGAAAGTAAATAAGTAAAAATAAAAAAAAATAACAAACTAAAAAATGGTAGGAAAAAAAAAAAAAAAAGAGCCCCCCTCCCTACTAAAAAAGAAAAAAAAAAAAAACAGATTGTCTCTTAGTATTTAGATATGGGTATGGACACTACCTATATAGCATTTGTTCTTTTCGTTGTATAGATGCAAAGGAAGACCGCAAACCATCTCACCGATTAACTCAGTGGTCTTTAGACCATCAGTTCGGTTCCACTTGATAATTGTTTTATCGATGGTTTGAGACCAAATCGGACCTTCCAAAAAAACAACCTTGTTCTATTTGTAAACTTTGATTAATGATCTAAACTGGATCGGACTATTTCCATCTTTATATATATATATATATTTTTAAAAACTTTTATAGAATAAGATAAGATATATATATATATATATATAATACATAACCATATATAATTTATCTTTTCTTTTTTTTTTCCTTGAAAAAGTCAAACAGGCCAATATTAACATATGATGAATGGTCCGGTCTGAAAAAAATTAACAGTTTGAGACCGAATCAGAACGTGCACGCTTTCGTTTTATAAACATGTTAAACTAAACAATACATTTTACATCCTTTTGTGGAGCTTTTAAAAAGCTCTCATCCGAAAAGGTAAAAGATGTTGTTGAAAACATCCTTTTGTGGAGCTTTTAACATGGTTTGTAAATCATAGGGATTAAAACAACATTGATTTTATAATTTATAAATAGGAATTAAAACATAAGGATTTAGTATGTTGTTAGTTATAAGTTACTGTGACCATAAACATATAGGTGTTTAGTAAATATTTTTACATCCTTTATTGATTAATGTAAGTTAGAAATTTTATAAATTATTTTTAGTAGAATAAAAAATTTTATGAAGTTTTTTTTAATATTTAAATTACTTTAAATTCAAATTAGATTTTAAACCACATAATTATCAAAATGCTCTTAAAATAGCAAAATAATTGTCAATTTCTTAAAAACTTAATGAGTGGACTTTTTGGTTAATATTTGGAGAACAAATGTTACGTTTTAAGAATAAAGGGGTAAAGTATTATAAAAAGTATAATTCGGAAAAAAATTTTGTAATTAATCTTTATTATTAAGATTATCTTAGTAAATTTGAATAATGACAGCAGAAATTACTGTAAAAAAGCAACTCTTAACATGCTTCTTAAATTTTATTGTCTGACAATAATTTTTAAAAATTACTAGACAAAAATAAAATTGACCAAACAATCTAAATTGTTATAACTTCT